AGAAGATGTTACAAATTTTTTGACAATCTGGGATGTACACCTATATTCCACCGGGGCAATTCTTCATTCAAAGAAAAACAAATAAAGAAGCGAATAAAATCGATGTTGGTCAGTCTTTGAGAGCTCTGCTACATTCAACATAGTCACGATTCTGGGCAGTTATATCCCATATGACGTTCGATATTTTCTGAAAATTAAAATATCTATGGTTTCGCTATTATAGAAGGTCCACATAAATGTTTACTCAAAAAATCATATACATTGAATTTTGCTGTCATTTTCTCATCCGCCGTCATAGCCCATTCGTCGTTGAAACCACTGAAATGCCCATGATTATAAAACTTTGAAGTTGGAAGGGTGCAATATTAGGATTCAATTGGTGGCTCTGCTCACCTGCCACTGCTGCCATCATCGCTTGGTGAGTCAACGCCCTTTAATAGATTGAGCATTTCCTGGGACCTGAATTCCTAAGGACAAGGACAGAGTTTGGGACCACATTCCAACTACAGTCTCGAATTTTAGAACCATATAGTTTGAGTCACATTATGTTTTCTGATGCTCAACGTCTAGGAATTGCAAACGAAATCAGGAATACCTCATTGCTGAATACGCCAGGAGGTGTCCGCAGCGCTCTGTTTTCTTTTGTATTTCCGTTACTATCGATTGTCGAAATGAGATACGTTGGAAGCGTAAGACTCTCCATAACCTGCATTAGAAAAACTTTCAAACTGGCTAATCGCTTTGGTGATGATTGATAAGGAGTGGTAAATCTAGGCAGCGCTCTATAGCGAATGCATATGGTGTAGTTCGCTGCGGACGATTGGGCGTGTCAGGCGGAGTAAGTTTGACGCAGTGCAAAACCCGTTCTACACCAGTTGTTAAAGCGAGCAAGTGAGTATGAGTGTATCATGTCGTTCGTATTACTTGTTCTGTCATGAGTTGTCGCATGCTCGCACCAGCAAGAAGACAGAGAACGGCTTTTAGGGTGTGACACACTCATACTGCCTGAAACGCCCAACCGTCTGCAGCGAACTGGTGTTTATGTGGGGGGGGGGGCAGGAGGCAAAAAGGCACTTTTGTTCCTCGAATTTCAAGGCGTTATAAGTTACACTTTATTATATTCTGAATGGACGTTTCTACATTGATGTTTAACAGCACATTGTACACAATCGCGATACTCAGCCACAGCCTTCTGAGGAGCGCCATCGAGAGATTCTGTCACGCGACCATGATTTGGTGTTTGGATCCAGCGAGGTCGTTGATTTCCCGCCACTGTAGACCACCTTGTTGAGCCCCGCCCGAACCCGGCAATCGAGGGGGTTCAGGGCGGAACATTCCGTCTCCATCTGGTTCTCAGCGTCCTTCGATTCCAAGTAGGCGAGAGATTTTCCAACACCCTTCGATTCCATGTGCTGGCACCCAATCCTGTAGCAGTACGAAGTTTCCGAGACGGCACAGGCGACGACATGAAGGCAGGATTTTCTCCTCCAGCTGTTCGATGTGACAGTCTTACACTCCGGGTCTACGAAGAAAATATCGGCCTTCTTATTCCAGGAACCTCCGGTCCGTAGCCTCAAAGGCAATACTCACGACCACAGTTTATAGGTAACACAGTTCAAAAATAGAATTGGCGTGTGTTTGTTTACTTACTCAAGAAGAAAGAAGCACGAAAAAGCGCCCGGAATAAGACCCTCTTTATTGCAAATGATCATGATCGGACGAGCGTAAGGTGGTCAGGATCAAATGTGAATTGCGAAAGGCGGCGATGCAGTGATAAGAGACGAGAGAGGAATGAAAACGATGGGCGAGCGAGCGTACTGACAGTCTCACAACGACACGGTCACTGGAGGCCGGCATGAGCCTATCGGGCGCAAATGGGCCTAAAATCTGAGCGCCCTGCGTTTTGCTTGCCGTTCTTCAACTCTTAAAAGCAGCATAGCCTCTGACGTTGCCTGCTTAACCATCGTGCACGGTAATTAGAACCTAGCCTCAGCTTATCGCGGAACGTACCTTTAACCCGCGGATTTGCGACTGCGCCGAAGATGAAATTCTGGAGGACCGTAACGACGTTGTCGGAGCTGCTCCACGTTGGAGGTCTTCAAGATCGAGAGTTCCGGTCTCCAGGTAGCTGTCCATGGGTGGCTCCATACAAAAAGTTTCGCAGCTGTTTGGAGGGAACGTGAATTCTAAAGGCCTTCTCCAGTCAGGCTGCTAATGGAGATGGTTTCATATTTTGGTGTGTATGAAGATGGACGAGAGCCTGCTTCTGCTGGTTGAGGAACATTTTGGGTACCTTCCGCCCTGGTACTCGTATCCACCGTTTCTGTCTGGGCTGCGTAAACTTCACTGATATGTGACTCGGCCAAAGTGTCTTATTTTCGGTCCCTCCCCCATGCAGACTCGTTCCCCAACACCATTGCTGTGAATTCTTGATCTTATAGGTCTTTCTATAACAAGAGAGCCCAGTCTCAAAAAAATATGACAGAAAGTTCCCGCCGACCCAATATTAGTACCCACAGGGACCAACTCAGAATTTAATTCCAGAATATGAATCCATTTGAAGTGAAATGTAATTGTAATGTATGCATTCTTCCAAAGTTGGACAATGTTTCGTGATCCAACAGAGTCAATACTGCATGTTCTAAATTTAATATGCTCCCCGGCCTTTTTTTCAATTTTTGAACTGAATATCATCAAGAAATTGTATCAAACGGTTGACAACGTACAGTTCTGTATTTGGGGGATCAAAGACAATGGTTACCTAGCTTTGATGGGGAGTTAACGGAAAACCATTGGTCGAGGTGACTGGGAAATTTCCCAGGAGTCACCGCCGCCAGGGCACGCCATCGTTGTAATAACCACAACGGGGGTCGTATTTGACCGCGAGGGAGGTGGCCGTATTTGGTCGTTGTGCGGGTAGGGACTGCCAAAGATCTACACAAACACTATTCCCGGTATTTGAAAATGATAGTTAAATCCTGACGACCTCCCCCCTCCGCAACCCGCTCGACAGCAAAATTTTGAGGACAAACTGGGAATCGGGAAATTTCGGTCAAACTGGTAGGAGGTTAGGGACAATCTAAGACATTCTCCTGTTTCACATTGAGTATATACCCCCTAGCTCGACAAAAAAATTCTTGGCTGAAAAACTGGTATTTTCTTGGGAAAAAATGGAAAAAAGTGATAGGATGTTGAGGAAATCTAGGAAAGTAGTGCTCCAAAATAACTGCACGTTGCTTCAAAGAAAAGAGATTAAGGTCAACTGTGGGTAGCATGGGGAGGGAGGGTGTCGTATTTGAGGATGGAATTGAAGGGGGGGGGAGGAGGGTCGGACGGAAAAATGACCAGGAAATTCACAACGCAATGGCATGCCTTGACTGCCGCGCTGAAGGTAGATCGCCGCGCTGGAAAGAAGACCGCGCGGCGCGCGCGCCGATTACATGTTTGCACATGTTTACATGTTTAAACATGTTCTTGGCATATAAAAGATGAAGAAAAGAAAGAATGGTCCGAAATAACTGCACGTTGCTTCAAAGAAAAGAGGTTAAGGTCAACTGTGTAAAATTCCTAGATATCTCGCATTCTGATGTCACAATGTCTCCGTTTGATGGCTTACAGTAGTTGTTTTGCTTCACTTTGTGTTGTGTTGCATTGTGCGTGCGCACGGTTTGCCGTGTAATAAACATAAAAAACTTGGCATCACTATGAGCAATCAGCATCGAACGCCAGCATAATTTTTAGTGTTTAAGTGTTTTTTTTAGTATTTAAGTTAATTTCAATTCTTCGAAAACGTACATGACAGCCGTGTCCGTTTGTTTCCGAGGTGTTTGCAGTGATGGTTCCTTGAAGAGAAGGTTAGTTTTCCGCATCAAGACCATAAAGTCGTCCATAAGCTTCCTTTCCAGGGCTCGATGCATTTGTATCACCTAGATAAAGCTGCGAATCACATAGATAAAGCTGCGAATCACCTAGATAAAGCCGCGCAGGAGGTAGCTACATTACTACTGCTTACAGCCAGATGACACAGTCTAAGCAGCTCAAGCCTATAGTGGCATCAAAAAAATCAAAATGTAAAAATTTAATGGGAGCAAAGTCGTCAGCAAGTGTAATGACTTGGAACATAATCGGAGCTATTAATTAATAGGTAAGCGAATGACCTTAGGTGCGCAAAGTTTTGTACAAGTGTTTTCGCTGCGTACGATAGGGCGTGCTAAGGGGCAGGATTCGGCGCTGTCAAAGAAGATTCGCCACCAGTTGGGTCAGTTGAAAGGGCAAGCGACAGCAATGGGTGCACGGGCGAGCGTCGCACCAAACTGTCCCGATGACACGCCCAGGCTCGTTCCGCGGGAGACATACTCATACTCAGGGGATAATCTGCTACTCGCTATCGTGATGACTCACGAGCTCCCTCTGGTCGACACGGCCGCGCATGCAACAAATCGCGCTCCAATACAACGGGTATCGATCGAATCCCGTCGCATTCATTTCAAATCAACGTACACAGGCTTCCCGCGCAAGGACTCCGTACAAAAAGGGATGCCCGGGAGACCGGGGAAGAGAGAGCTCCAGCAGGAGTCGTGTCGCGCACCGTAGCACGAATTCATCTTTCACCTTAAGGTCAGAGCTCTCAGACCACTCGCCTAATCTCATCATAATTTAATCCTTATCTTCATTCTCCGTTTTCCATCATCAATTGTTGTGAATTGTTTTGAGTCAAACGTGAAGTGAACGTGAAGTTTTTTGTCGTGTGTTTCATATGTGGGGGCAATTCCCTAATTACTGGTAAGATATAGTTGCAAGCACGACGCTCGCAACGAATCTAGCTACGTCCATTTACAAGATTAAATTCAGTGAAAAATAGTGCTAATTTTAAGATGTAGCTCATAAAGGGTAAGCACTGTTGGATATTGCTGCTAGGACGTTTTTAAAAATAAAACCTTATGACAATAGGTAGATGGTGGATTATGAGTTTATTAATGAATCTGCTTAGCGCTTATGCTCTAGTAAACACTTGCCTTTGTTGATGCTTCTTTCTTCTTTGATTTATCGGGTACTGGATCAGCTCGACGAATTTCACTGCTCCACTGACGAAACAGTTCACTTAAAAAGAAAAGTACGGATTTTTTGGGCTAAGGGTGAGCTCACAGTAAGTCTTGCGCACCGTATTTGTATATCGTAAGCCGAATTGAGACCAATACGAAAGAATTCTTGTTTGTAGACCGCCTAAATTCGAAGTTCATTGGCCTTCTGACAGTGGGCTGGGTTTGCGCAAAGAAACCCTCACGTCGCACACCACAGCCGGTCGGCCGGCCATGTGGGGTGAGGGATTTAGAATCAGCTGGAAAACGCCTACTATGTCGCAGTCGCGGAAAAGAAACTTGGAACAAGCTTTGAAAAGACATTCTCACCTGTACTGGGCCGTTTATTCTGTACTTAAACACCAATATTAGGGTGAGAAGCTAGGAATATGTTAGCTTCTCACCCTAATACTGGTGTACACAATAGTATTGAAATTTTGGTTGAGCGGAGGAGGTGTAGCGGCAAGTGGCACCACTTGCCACAACCGCGATCTGGGGTTCAGACCCCGGATGGGCTCTCTCGCGAGACAACCGAGCTATCCATGCCTGCACGGAAAGCTAATTAATACTAGACTCTTCTGAAAAGATGAGAACGCCGTCTTCTACATTGGCAGCTTCGATGTGCTGGAATGTTTTTCTGTGGACGCAATGACTAGTTGTCATGTTTTAGTTCTACTCGGCCCATCGGAAGAAGGGAAACACCTGTCTCAGTTTTCGTTTCCTCCTTCCTTTACCTCTTCCACACTCTCAAGAAGCCAAGTTTTCTTCCGCTGCATGCGAGAATTTTTACCACATTCCCCCTTCGCTCCTCGATATCGAGTAGATGCGACCCCTGACAGTCCACTCTTATCACATGGGCGGAGTCAGGCCTCTGCTATACCTTTCTCGTTGGTGCGCTCTTTTTCTCAAGGAAGATAGAGAGCAGGAAATATATTGAGGAACAGGAACAGAAGCAGATCATGCTCCGTCCACGCAGAGACTGAAGAATGTCCCTTTAGGAGTTCCAACCATCTTTCCAAGACTTATGAAAAATTTTATACAGTGTTATTCAGCGGTCACCTGAATATTTAGAACTGAGGAAGCGCTGATGAAAGATTATGACGAAAAAAACATACCCGACAGGCATCGGTCTTGGTTTTGTCAGCGTCATTCATCCTGGTTTTCAAGTAGGCATCCCTCCACTTATTTTTCATTTTGGATTGCACGGCGTTTGGTACGTGTTCCTGAACAGGGTATTCCTTAATTTCATTAGTTTTCCTTTTTCCCCTTGTTATTTTCTGACGCACTTCGGCAACGGGGGAGGGGAGGGGGAGGGGGTGTGTCGTTTGCATTTTGCTGCTTCCTGTCGACGTGTCGAGCCATCAAGTGGAGAAGTGTGAAATTTCATAAAGCCACAAAATTTCTGTAGGGACCACCAAGTTTACCTGTCAACTCTTGTAAAGTAACGAAGTATAATACCAATACCATTTACCATGGTGGCCCGATGAGCTTGCCACAGTTTCACAAGTGTTCAGACGTTTCACCAGAACGGGACTTGTAAACCGGGACTACTGAAGCGGCAAGAGTGCAAGATGTCCCCTCGTCGCCCAACTCTCCCGAGGGCCCGACATCATCATTTCTTGGGACAGAGCCTTACGGTTCGCGATCAGGTATAGAAGTTGAAAGTATGGCGCCGAGGATGGTGTGGTCCGTGATGAACAAGCTTGCGCCGGTGTCGTCAAAAAAATGTAGGCAGGGGCGCTGTAGCGCAATATGGGTCCAGTGACGCCTCCTTTTCACCAGTGACTCCGCCTCCACACTTTTCCTTTGAGGCCCGCCTTTGAGTGAACAGTGAAGCTGGAGGACAAGAGAAGGACGAAATAAGGCCTTTGTCTCTTGTGTGGTCGTAGGGCTCTTTTCGGAGTCAAACCCCTAATAGACTATCTGTGATGGCGAAAGATCGTGGGCTTTGCCTTCAAAAGAATCCCGGAGTAGGGTTGGAATAGAAAGCTGTGCCTGACCAGCTTTCATATTAAGAACTTCTCTTTTTCATACTTTTCTGTGATTCTATTTTAATCATCGAAAATTTCAAGAAATTCGGTCAAAAAAATCACCGGGTGAGCAGGAGACGAGATGGGGAATTCTTGCTTCAATTTGCTCTTTTTTGCTGCTCTTCTTTGTCGGATAGCATCCTTGACTTCCTCGCGAGAAAACATCTTAACTGGATCGAATTTCGGCGAAAAACGTTCCGGCAAGAATCTCATTCCCCACCATAATAATCTACTGTACTGCTGTAAGAATTATGATGAAATACCTCACTGAAGTGGAAGTTTTACTTGTCTTTCCCACAAAAAAAACTCACCCCAGGTGTTGTAATAATGTTTTGCGCAATGTTACATACGCAATAGATCATGGAAGATAGGAAAACCAAGCTGTAAAGGCAGTGGCGTGAACATCGCTGCTTTCACAAAGAAGAAACAACGCAGCTCAAAGAGCGCCAATCGTGCGGGCGGAGTCAGGGGTGCTATGCCTTCCTCATTGGTGCGCCCCGCCTCAGGGCAGTGATAGGGAGAAGAGGGTCAATGAGGAGGGCACAGTGTCACCGTAATTGAACAACGTACTTGTTGACCCATGGTACCGCAACCCAGTCGCCAGCTATTGATAAGAACTGCCAGTAGACTAAAAGTAGCCATGGTCCAAAAGCAGTGAAGAGCAGGTCTCTTTCGCACTGAAAATATTTCTTTTTAACACACGGGAAATTAACTTAATGTCTCGCTTACCTTCTCTGCTTCGTTTCTGCTCTGATTGGAAACTTCTCCCAGATGGGCGTCTAATTTCGCTTGATAATGTGGCAGATATTTCCGCAGAAATAGGGCTTTGTATGAAAGCGCCGTTGTGAAGGAGGCAACAGCTATGTTGAACAAGATTATTGGTAACCATGAGTCGATCGTTTCCATAGAGAATCTCCCCAAACAGCTCCATCGCGTTGTTACCTGAATGTTCGTAGAAAAGCGCAAAGCATCCCTAGGCGGGCTCACTCCGATCCTCCAAACGCCGCCCTGCCCGAGTGCGACGTAATTATCTATAACTCCAGGTGGTAAGTTGCGTTCAACCCAAACAAGGGGTCGCATTTGGCCGCCGGGGAGTGGGGGGGGGGTCGTGCTTGGGCCAAGAAAAGAAAAGAAAAGTTTTTGATAACTGGTGCTTTTGTTCCAGAGACCTCAGGGGAGGGGGCGCTTGTGTCTACTCGTTGTTGGGAAAGGAGCGTATTTGCCTCCTCGCTTTTTGAGAGAAGTTGCTGACTTTCCGTGATTTTTCCTGTTTCAAGTGTACTACATACCCACTTCCCCGCTCTACAGCAAAATTCTTGGGTATAAGCAGGAAAATTTTTGGGACATTCTGGAAAAATTGCAAGAAGTTGGTGAAAACCTAAGAAGACTGGGGGGGGGTATAACAACCCCCTAAAAAAGAGGGGGTCATACGGGAGTCGAACAAATGCCTCGACTGCTGATGTGCCCTGTTGCGGTAGCTCCACCAGCGTCCACTAGCGTTTCGAGCGTCCGGCAGCGTCAGCGACTGGCAGTAGCCAGATACGAACTAGCGCCTCCCAGCGTCTACCAGCCCACTAGCGTCTCGAGAGCCCGGGAAGTCTAGGTATCGATCTACCGTCCAGCATGCACCAGTGTCTACCAGCGTCCCGAAGGGTAGAGTATGGCGCGATAGGAGCGTAGCAGACCGTTGGTACCCTCATGCCGTGCCATACTGTCCACCAGCCGTCTGCTACGGACAACCTGAACTCAATTCCTTTGAACGCTTCGAATTTGTTTTCTTTGCTCTCTCTTGTCCCTGTGTCACTCGATGGTCCATCGTGACTTCGCACATTCCAGCCTTGCACCAGTAGCTCACCCATCCTGAAAAGCCCGTTTCCTGGCTCGCTATGTGTTTCTAGAACTTTTGATAGTTTGGCAACAGCTTTCCTCTATCCGTCTGCGTTACAGGGTTTCGTAACAGGACCATGCATAAAAGTTGAAGATGTTACGTAACCGTCGTCTGCTACTCTCCTATCGCGCCGTATATTCCTCTTTCGGACACTGGTGCACGCTAGCAGACCCTAGATTGATACCTACACTTCCCAGCAGGGTACGCCATCGCGTTGTGATAATTTTCCGCTAAATATGACTCCCCTCCCCAAATAAGGGTCCTAATACGACCTCTCCCCTGTCACGAAAGTACAGACGAAAAGAAGCGCAAAAGGGAAGAGGAAAATGACAAAGAACTGGGCACTATTGAACTATTCCTACCCCGAGAACTCAAAAAAATTTGGTGAACTTGTTTTTTAGATGTTATTCGATGTCTTGATCACGAGGGTGACACCATTTCTCCATACCAGCGCTATTTAGCGCTCTGCTGAGGCTGAAACTGGGAGAAGGAGAGATTCCCCTCAGGCCAGGTTCAGTCTTAGCAAAGCGCAGACGACCGTGAGAGGAAGCGGATGTGATATCCGTTTCCAGGAGGTCGAAGTACCACTGTAAGCAAATTTTCAGCCAAACCTGCCCTTCTAGAAAAAAGCCGATGAAAAAGCAGCCTGATTTCGGCAGACTGGGGAAGGAATAGTTCGATAGTGCCGAAAACTAGAACTCAAACTAGAAAACCACTAAGAAACTGGAAGAAAAAACTTGAAAAACACCAGAAACAAACGACTAAAAATACCAGCTAAAAAGGAGATTTAGAAGCAAGACCTAGTAAATAGCTTCTGAATATTAGTTGTTCGCGGTCATTCAGAGGTTCATCTCATACAAATGTATTGGAGCGAGCTATTTTACGACCCGGAGCCAGTTCCAAGCCAAACACTTGAAAAGTACCCCTCCACTTGAACACCCATGTATTTGAGAGTTGAGCCTTTGCAAAGGGGAAAGCAGGAATGTAGCACTAGGTTGACGCTTGTTACCTGAGTTTGAGCGATTTCAAAAAAAATTCCTTTTCAAGAAATTTCCCCTGTTGTGATCCCGTCGTGATCATTGGGGAAGGGGGTCATTTACATGTCCTTACGCTTTAAACAGCCATGGCAAGTTTCATACAGGGCCTTTTGTGAAAAGAAAAACAGCGCCAGAATTTCGAAGCTTTTGACTTTCCAGCAAGACTTTCATTCTATCCCTGGACCTGCTATTCGAAAAGATCCCCCGTTGTGATCACAATCCGAACGTTGCCGGACGACACGAAAAACCAACCGCCCGACGCCATAAAATTCCAGTTGGCTTAAAGACTTTGGTGTGCATCTAAAACGCATATTTTCGCCCAGGATATCAGGAAATAGTTTATTGGGCGACAATTCGCATCCCTCTGCAATGCGGCAAAGCGCTCTCACGCAGTGGTATTGTGGGAAGGAGCAACTTCTAGAAAGGGCTTCTTCCGTGCAAGTAGATGTGCCTCTACGATAGAAAGGTCCGGCAGTGTATTTGCATCGGTTTATTAATTCCTGACGTCGTTGTGGGAGGCCATCTTATTTCCTGTCAACGCAAGTTCCCCACGCACGGGGCTTCTGTCTTGTGTGTGTCTCTTCAGGTGTTCCCGAACGACATCTAGGTATCGCTGCACCCTCACTCCAGAAAGGGCCCTGCGCTTACAACACCTCCCCCCCCACCCCACTCCCTCGAAGTCAATTACGACCCCCTGCTGTGATCATCACAACGACGGGGTGCCCTGCTTCCCTGGCCCTGGACGCTGGTAGACGCTTGTGGACTCTTCCGCAAAGTATGAACGCAGCCTTATCACTGATCTCTGACTACGTACTCATTAGAAAGCGGAGAAAAAGCCCTCATCTTGATCATTCCAATCTAACCTCCATGAAAGACGATGCTAGAATGGCCAGAATTCCACCACTAGCCAGACAACTGAAGAGAACAGTCCGTCGCTGTAAAATATAGTGAAAAATGTATCTGTAGGCCTGAGAAATTAAAATACATTATGTAAAATATATTGAAATCCTCCTATACTTACAGCAAGTGCTGCCTTAATATGTGAAGACTCATATAATCTCATAGTCCACAAATTCAACTGTTTCAGGCTAATCACTTCATAAGCGTTGAGAGCCTCGGCAGCAAAAAATAAAATTCCTGAAATGCTTCTAGGTGAACGCAATCTAGAAGCCCCTTCTGACTACCAAACCGATCTTTTCTTATTAACGAGAAGCTACTATTGACCAATTTATTCGAGTGGGATACTGGTTCAAATGGAGGATGCACAGAAAAGGTGTCACTTTGCCCCTCTATCGTAGAAGTAAAGTTGAGATTGCTGGTGTAGCAACCCCTTCAGCGCTGAAAAATGGGTGTTGCAATAGTGTGTAGTGTGATCTGTTTAATGCGGTTAAGAGCATGCTCTATCCCCTGGACTCCCTTGATGGAAAACCACGCTGCCTATGAATTGTGTCTCTGAGCTTATCCCCTCTGGTCCTCTCTCGCGCCTTTCCTGAGACTCCCTTTGCACACTGTAGGATGAATTCTGCTGCGTTTGTCCAAGTCTCCTGGACTAGCCCATGTGCGTTTGGGAGCCCAGTTCTCCGGCCGAGGCTATCCTTTTCCGTTTCGGGCCTTTTTCTCACCGAATTCTCCCCACATCTTGCCGTGGCGATGTTCGTCAAGAGTGGCCTGAGCTATGGGTCAGCTCTTCCCCACGCAGTACCTTGATATCCTTAACGGTTCTGAACGTGAGAGACAATGTTCTCACCAGTACAGGGTCGATTCCCGTTTGTCTCCCTTCACTGCTGTGGATTCTTTTCTACGTCCTTCTTTTGGCAAAGAAGGTGCTACAGATCGCTAAGTCGTGGGCTCTGGTAAGGTCAAGTATCCTTTCTGCCTCGACGTTCCTTGCTCCCATTCCTCGACCTGCGTGCATCTTTTTCAGGTGACGACAAGTCGTCTTCCAGATTAGGGAAGTTACATTAGTTTGAATTGTGTCTCTGACCTTATTGTATTAGTGATTTCTCATTACCTTTCTATGAGTCATTGGAACTTGATTCATAGCAAATCGATGAGCAATTGAAGGAATGGCCACAAGAAAGGCGGAGCGATGGGCAAAAATGGCATACTACTTAAGCAACAGATGGTCCAGCCGGGAAGTCAGACGGCTGGTTAAGCCTTCAGCTGTTTTTCGAATTTCTCTTTTCTCCTGGGTGCTTAATAACTCCTTCTCAACGTTCTAGCCTCATCATTATTCCTAGATCATAGTTGTTCAAGTTCTGGATCCTTTACATACAACAGCTTCTCCTTTGATGGGCCTGATTACCGTAGCTGTTTGAACGTGATGAATTCTTTAGTGCCTTCTTCAACTGTGCCTCCTCGCTCTAGGATTGCTCTTACTATGCGTATTCATTCCCTTATTCATAGCTTCCTATATCTATTCTCATATCGCTTGTAATGTTGGCAATTGATTTATATATTTACTAGTAATTTTTTTAGTGCATTAGGATAAAGTTCAATCACTTATCTACCTAAGGTTGCGATTGTCTTCTCAAGTGGTCTATCCCGCAAGGCATTCTTATCTAGTAGAAGAAAGTGCGAGCAGTTATTTCGGTAGAAGACAATATCCTCACCAGGCGCCTTCTGCCTTTACCCACATAACATTCAGATCACCGGCTATGATGAGGTAGTCATTTTCCGGAACCGATCTTATGGCCTTGGCCAGGGTCACGTTGAACTTGATTCTCGTCCAGAGCAATCACAATGTGGTGCGTAGACACGCGGTCAGAAGTGTCCAGTACCCCTCCTCCTTGTCTATCCTCACGATACGATCACCGATCCAGTTCACGGAGGAGACGCAGTCTTGAGGATTTTCGCCACCGCTAATGGCCACATCCATTCGCGTTTTGGTGTCTCTCCATTGCAAAAGAGTTCGTTGCCCTTCCGCAAACTTGCGGGATCCCTTCCCCAGCGCCGTTTTCGGAACAGAGTATGAACTTTTCATTCTGGCGTTTTCATGATGTAACTGCAACCTCGGCGAGACTTATGTACCGAGGTCCGCTATTCGTCCTTTTTGTCGCCAAATGAAGCTAGGTTCTTCAGCCTGATCGTTCGAACTTCTGGGCGACCTTTCTGCGCTTCCACTCAAGGAAGCACGTCCTAACATTATCACTGATTCCACTCAGCAGAATCCTTCATGATTTTGGTGAGGACAGACAGATATAATACATACATCGATCGCTTTCAACCTGGGCCTAACTGGTACCGTCAGCTTTTTGCCCAATTTCTTTTGCAAGGATCCGTTTATGCGCACCTCGACATCCCTAACATCACAAAGGCCTCGAAGTGGGGGGGGGGGCGAAACGGGAATCAAATAAAGGAAGCTGGAGGTAATACCTAAAAGGGTTGCCTACCCGAGATTGGTAAATAAACAAGCTACAACAAGCACAGAAGGGATGGAGAGAGGACAGAATAAGGCACGAAGTTCTGCACTCAAGAAGAAACCGCACCGACTTCGACGGGACTCGCCACGAAAACACCGCGCAGGATTCCGGAAGACAATAGACAGACGAGACGGATCATATAGACGCGAATAGGGACTGTCCTGCGAGTGCTGCAACTACAACTGTCGCACCATCTGCTCAAGAGCCGACAAACCATGATATACATGGAGCTAGCAAAAGACTTCGTTTCCGAGGCATCGAAACTTCAGGAAACAAAAGCGAAAGAAAACAGCTACCAGGCAGACAACATAGCCACCTAATGGTTCTCGGAGCCAAACTGAGCGGAAGAAATGTGGGTGAGTTGGATTCCTCCGTCCAGCATCGGCTCGAAGTACATGTCGAAAGTGATCGGCCGGCGACCGGCGCAATCCTACGTCCTACGCTCGACAAGCGCATTTTCATTACTATTTTCAACTGCTATGTAACGGAATCGAAATCAGCACAGCACTCCCGAAGCGCGCCGTGATCACCAAAGCCTACCGCATTGCAGTGAAGAGCGCGATTAGCTTACAAGAATAACCACGCACTGAAGGAAGGCGACGCGAGCCGAAAGCGAGTCGTAAACCGATATCGTCGAGTTATCAACTTTTCTCGGCGTCGAATGCACAGATCAGAGATATATGCCGAGACGGATGGGCAGAAGAGAGACATCGAAAAACGAGAGAGAATAGACAAGAGTATCGCAGTCAATTTCTCACGGATCTCTAACGTCAACGATCCGCCAAGGATATATATTCAACGCATACCACTAAACCCATACGTCAGGCCAAGCCCACACGGCAAACCCACAGATAGAAGAGTGGAGGAACATGAAAATTAGACGTCAATGAAGCCGGGGAAGGCACCAGGACCTGACCGCAGACTTCCTGAAATCGGCGTCCCGCACCGTCATAAAACAGCTTACCAGGCGCTATAACAGGTACATGGACGCGCAAGAGGTCCCGGACTAGTGGAAGACGTCAAGCACGGTTCTTCTGTTCAAGAAGGGCGAGCGCGACCTAATGAAGATTACCAATTATTGAAATATAAAGAATCGTCCTCCTCTCGCAGCCATACAAGCTGTTCACGAAGGTAGTCTTTGAGAAACAGCTGAATGACTATCGACCAGTGGAACAGGCCGGGTTTCGCAAGTGCTTTTTTTGCATGAATCACATCCATGCTGTCACGCACTTGATCGAGCGAACCAAGGAATACAAGCAGCCGCTCCTCCTCTGATTTATCGACTATACAAGACTATTCGACAGTGTGGAACTGAACTCTATTGGGAATGCGCGCCACCATGCTGGTGTCGACCCGTGCTACATAAACCTGCTGGAAAAATGCACCATGGACACATCTACCACCATCCGCATTTTTCAACGAGAGCTACGAGTGCCGATCGAAAAAGGAGTCAGACAATGCGATACGATCTCCCCCAAGTTGTTCACTGCCGCACTCAACCACAACCGATGCTGCAGCTAGACTGAGACAATAAGCATCAACGTCGACGGAAAGAAGCTATCTAACCCACGATTCGCAGACGACATTGTCCTTATCAGTCAAAACTCAGCAGAGCTACAGCGGATGGAGAAAGAACCGTGGCTCAAAGCGCAGAAATGGGCCTACACCCCCAACCCTCACCTATCCCTACCCCTCATCAGAACGTCTTTCTTTACTTCTCGCCTTCTCTGCCCATCTATGATATATGTCATGAAATATTTAAGGCATGGTTCTCAACTCAACTAGACGTACTTTAACACCCTTCAGATTTGTACCAATTTAGTGAAGGCCGCTGCTTCATTTTAAAGAAGAAAATCCAGTACGGGTACGGGTAGTAACCATGGAACCAGTATCCGATAAGTAGCTCCCCAGTAGAGAAAGAGGCGGAAAGAAGGCCTCGAGAACGCTCTGAGCAGAGAGCCTTCAAGCAGTAGGGCCAGGATCTTGGACGGGTTTATCGGACGTCGGCAAGCCCAATCAGCAAGATTCCATGTGCAGCCAATTCCCGACGAAAGCACAGGAAATCACCCTACGACGCTCCAGCTAACGCAATGTGCACGCGCGATTTTCGTTGTCTTGCAGAGCGGAAGTAATCGTGGTTACAACGGTTGTAATGAGCACACGTCTATAGCTTCTTTATTTCGTCGTTTCGAGTGACGCAAATGGGATATTCTCTGCGAATGCGGACAACGATGTCAAATGCACGTAGACATTTTGCGGACCACTTGGCCACGGGAAGTGTCTTCAAAACATACCCAATGAATAGCAACACGTTATGATGAAGTACGCCCATCTGCAGCTGAACTCTGACATCCAAAACAGAGTTGGGTAGCGAAAAAGTAGAACGCCAAAGCCTGCCATAGTCACCACGAACGAACGACAATTCTGATAGTAGGACTGTGGATCCTGCAACTAGAAAACTTTATTTCCGTCATCAAATGGGTCATATTTTGTTAACTTTTTACAGGTTCAGTAACTGCACAGCTTCACGCGAGCAGGTCTACTGAACAAAATTGATCTGCAGATTATGGACACAGGGCGTGATGGCTGTTTCAATCCACTTTCGCCACATATGGTACAAGTTTCAGAGTAACAGAGAAAAAGGAAAAATTACGACGATTCAGTGGGGGATTGCGTCTCAGAGCGAGTGCAGTAATCAGAACAGCGTAAAAAACCGTCTGAGTCCTCAACTAAGACTCTTTCGAAACGTTTTCAATATCAAAAATAGGCATTAACAGAAAAAACCGAGGCAGCAGAGTATCACCCTGCTCTGATGTTATACTTGCTGAACAGCCATGACCAGGGCACGTCCTGCTGGGGAAAAGTTTTCGTTAAATAGAACTTTCTACAAGAAAAACTGTTGTTGATTTGGGGGGGGGAGGGGCACGGGAATAGAGCGTGCCGGAACAACCTAGAAAAGTGAACAACCATTAATATTTTGAATAAAGGCAAATATGGCCGCGCTTCTTCCAGCGATGGAATACAATGGGGAACGCCGCGGTGTCGCGGCTTCACAGTATGTATCGATGGCGCTATGCTATGGCCTCAAAAGTGGCGGTTCTGATGCCTCCCTAGTCGTCCCGCCCACCGAAACTCAAGCGCAACTTCTATCCCAAGTTCAGTTTTTGCCCCGTGTTCTCGTTCTTCATTGGTAGATAGCGTTAACACTGAATCACGCGAAAAAAACCACTGCTGAGGCAGAGGTGGCAAGATATCCCTGGCGTAAAACGAGCAGGTCCGGAAACGCGTCCAGGGAAACTGACAGGTCCTTATTCAGGGTGTTCTCAATGATTTTTTTTGCATTTTCCTTCCCAGAGAGTCTATAGGACTATGGGCTTCTAACGGAACGCCACTATCCACAGTACACCGTCGGGTATTGCCTTTGAGGAGGGAGAGAGGGCGCTCTCATGTAACTATCTGTTGACATTATTCAAAATTCATCCATCGTTTTTGAAAAATTCGCCTTTCAAAAGCGGAAATATGCAAACCACTCACTTCGCCGCTCTTTGGAAAAGAAACTACAAGAAATCCTTTCAGGACCATGAGTAATATTTCGCTCCATGATAGCACTAGTGCACTTGCTGTAGAAGCAGAGGCGATAGAATTCTGAAAATGAGACGTTTCCCGGCTTTTCAAAAGAACATCTATGCAGCTAATTAATGATAATACGAGCCACCGATGAAACGTATCACAGTTCACTCATCAAAATCAGCCTCGAATACACAATATCGCGAATTGGATCACTCATCAAAATCAGCCTCGAATTCACAATATCACGAGTTCAGGATCCTGATCTCGGTCATACGCGAGGAGATATCCGTAGCTACAGTAGCATACCCTTCTCCGCTCAAAAGTACACGAAGCTGGGCTGGTCGGCAGGGACACCCGGATTCCTCCTTCCAACTCCGCCGGCGGTGCCTCACGGTGGCCGTACACCCAACTCTAGTCAAACGTGGTGCATGTCGGGGTCACCTCACTTGTGACTGGTATCGAGCGCACTCTGATAATAGCATAAGCGGCGTCCGTGTACCACTCAAGCGCCATTCCCATGCATTTTCGCGTGGGGAATGTGACGCGCGACTATGTCTGCGAACCCATACACGTTGCACATGGGAAGGAGCATCCATAGAGGTGAGATAATTTGTCTTTGAGTCTCCATATCCCGAAATGGGATGTGATGGGCGCGGTTGTGTACTTCGTTCGTTCAGACGAGATACGTTATTTTCGCGGTATATTTCCATTTCACACGACTGTGCTGTCCCCGATCTCGCGGTCGCGGTATGTGCTGGGCAAAGGTGTGACTGCAATTGTCCCAAAACGGCAAGAGCCCGCCAAAAGCAAAGTTCGATGAATTACGCAGCCACACCCTACCCACCCCGGGATATGGAGCGTTAATAAGTTCGAAACCTCATTAGGTGAGTAGAACTTTAGAGTGATCTTGTCCACAGTACAGTGCTCTCCAGCGATGCCATCATTACAAACACAAGAAGCCTGAAAACAGTAATAAGAGCTATTGAAATTCAGGGGAGCTGAAATTCAGACAGGAGAAGTTGGTTAGAATCTTGAAAACATGCTACTTGCTACAACACCCATTTCGCCTCTGGAACAAGATGCACAGAGCACAAAAGACCAATGCTAAGCCTCACGCGGTTCATGATACGGTTCCAGAGCAGCCCAAAGATTGGAAAAAGTGAACGGGATTAAGCAAGTATGTAACGGAATTCAGCAAGGTATTCGAATCGGCAACGGAATTCAGCAAATATGTAATTGACGAACGCGACAGAAAAAACGCCCTCAAAGGACTTCTTCCAAAGTGGATCGTTTCGCAGCTTTGCACGAGTTTACAATTTTCGCCAAAAAATGACTCTCAATTAATGTGAACTAGCAAAATGAGAGTAGGGATTGTGCAAAATGCCCCTCCCAACCCAAACAGTGCCCGAAACTCTGTAACTGGGTCTTTAAGAAAGGTTGGGTATTGCCAGAAAATGGGACTAGTAGCAGTCTCAACCAGAATTAACGGTACAAAAAGAGGACAGCTGTTGCAAATCGGGTTTCTCCGCGAGCAGGACGGCGGGAGGAGGGAGTGATCCGGCAGCGCTGCATTGACTGATGGTCTCCGATCTCCTTCGCCCTACGCCCCGTCTCCCACACGCGGCAAGTCCTGGACTACGGATCGAACAGCCTTTTCCCGCTTGCCTCTTTCTGGCCCATCGATTAGGATCAGCCCGCCGAACTAATACACCACAACAAGATACTGGTAGGAATCGCAAGGCAAAACCTCCTTCTGTACGAGTACAGAGTTAGGGTTAGCAACTTTATGAGCTTTAGTGAAGTAACATGAACTACTTATCAGCAAAGAATACGATACAGTTAATCGTCCGTCGGAGGGATCTGCGAACCTTTAGGACGGAAACACTTACTCACGGAGATGAGTAAATCTCGTCGCCAACTGAGCGGATACTGAAGCAGCCATGAACATACTTTCACTGATATTTTTAAGGGCCCACGCCCTAGCATAGCCGCCGTCGGTAGTGGTCGACCAAGGGAGGATAGACGTCGTTGCTATTCTAGAAGAATAACAGACAGTACGTAGCTACTGGAAGGTGTGCCGCTGGATTAGGTAGAGTGTTAGTTCAGATGCCGACTGACGACTGGAATAACTGAGTCGGAAGAAGGTTAGTAGTCGACCGCTCTGGAGTAGACGGAGAAGAAGGAAGTGAAGTCTGTTGACAATGCCACCGGGATGGGAGCGTTTCCCCCGCGATCATGTTGGAATAAGGCAAAAACGTAGGTCACGTGCCGAGCTACGCAGGCGCCAGCACACCGGGGAGAAACCCTTGGAGCGATCCTCGCGATTCGCGCACAACAGCGCTGGTTATAGACTGTATTAAAGCTTGTCAAGACATCTCATTGAAATGCTTGACGCTTCTATCAAGTGAAATGATATATATGTATTTCTAGAACTTCACAAAAATGAGAGAAACTAATTTCGCAAGGCTCACTCTGGTTACTTCCGATTTACAAACGCCGTTTGAACCGCACTGCCAAACCCGTGACCGCGCATTGATCAGGAGCTTTCCAGCAAGTATCTCCCTGAAATAAGTTTCGTTCAGTGTATTTAATGAATTCAGTTGTTTTCTTGTAATACCGTTCTAGCGTACCTTTATTTCTGGCGTGAAAGGCGCATTTATAGTGGACCAGTCGGGTCGCCTTCGCCGGCGATCCTCCTTATACGT